TGGGACTTTACCCTCCAGCCTATCCCCAAGGGGACTCTTCCATCCCTGTTAGCATTATGGGGATCAGGACAGAGAAAACAGGGCTAGCAGTGTGCCCCCATGCCCTGCTGCCCTGCCAGCACCATCCATGGTGTCACCCCCAGCCCTGCCATCATGTGCCTGGCACAGGTCCCCATGATGCTCACGGGCTGGGCAGCCCAACAAGCATGCATGGCCGTCGCTAGCTCTGCCTTTTGCTTTCAGCATCTCCTTCTCGCTATTTATCGGTGACTTTTGTCCTTGGCCAGCTTAGCAGCTGAAAGGGGCTGTATTATATCACACGTAGGCAGCTCCTGGGGGGAGAGGGCCGTGCTTTCTGCTGGAACAAAGCGCGGGTTGGCTAATTCCCCTCTCCTCCTGCAGCACCCGGGTCCCATCTGGTTGACACAGTTTGCTGCAGTGTCTCCTGCTATTAAGCCCCCACTTGCCTGTTTGAATCCTTGGTGCTCCCCCCACCCCATGCCCTCAGCCCCTTTTTTCTTGCTTTATCTTTCATTTTCCCCTAAAGCCGGGCAGAACTTGCTTAATAGAGTGATGTCAGATGTGTGCAAACCAGACCAATAAAACCTAATGCATCCTCCCCTTTGTCTGCCATCCTCTCCAACGCCTAACATTTTCCACTCAGAAAGCCACTTAAAACACATCAGCAACAATCCCTCACAAAACAGCCACTTGTTGGCTAATTGTGCTGAGTACCTGCGCACACTGCTGCTGCTCTCCTGCTGGGAGGGTGGGATGCTGCCACAGCACTGGGCTCTTTGGGGCAAAGGGTGTTCAGATACCTATCGTCCATGGGACCAGCCCTATGAGGAGGGGTGTGGGATGGGGGCTCACTGGGGGAGTCAGGATGGGGAGCTTTCGCTCTGGGGCAGTGATGCTGCTTGCTGGAGATGCTCTGTGATGGGGTTGAGGTGGAAGGGATTGACCCTTTGCCTAATGGAGCATCCAAAAATCCCTCCCCAGGGACGCTTTGGGTCTATCATTGTGAAATATGTGGAGAACACATCCGCAGGTGTTTCATCTCTCTCCTTGCATCCCCATGAGAGAGAGTATGCCTCTGCCTGCATCCCCTGTGCCACAGCATCCTCCATCCATCCATCCTGCTAGCCCTCAGCACATCTCAGTATGCTCCCAGAGCAGTATTTCTTTTCCTGCCAGAAAACTTTGGCAGATTTTCACACTGCCATCCCCTGTGGCTGGTGGCACAGCCCACAGCCACCGTGCTGGGCAGGCAGCCCAGAGCCCCGCTGATGAGCACACCTGCACTGATTCACCTGCCTGAATCACACATAAATGTCACACAGGCAGGGCAGTGCAGGGAATGCAGCCAGCAGAGGCTCTGCCTTTTGACTTTCCTCACAGGGAGCCACGCTGCAGCGTTGGTTTAGTCCCGATGCTGAGCTCTGCCACCTGCCCACAGCCACCAAGCGATGTGGGAGGCATCCACAGGTTGCCATCCGCTCCCCATATCCATACTTTGGAGCACAAGGACCCAGCACCCTGCAGTGGGGCAGGAGGTTTCCATGCACACCTGGGCAGTGAGCCATGCCAGGGGAAGAAGGGGTTAAACAGAGGAGGCAAAAATCAGAGGATTATAGGTTTGTTGCCGGACTGTCCCATCTGTCACCAGCACAAAGACAAGCCCTGTCTGGGGCTGGGCTGTCAGCGAGGAGCCCACCACTACATTAGGACTCCATTAGGGGAGACTTGTGGTGGGAAATGGCAGCTGTCAGGGCACTATCATTTCTCCTGTAATTCTCTGTGCTTGCTTCTTCGCTGCACTTAAATAGCAGGTCTACCTACTGGGCCAATTTTTCTTCTTCCTGCTGCTCCTCTTCTTGCTTTAAAGCTGCAGCTCCCAGCTCAGCCAGGCCCTTGTCCTAATGCTGCTATGTGTCGTGTCCTTCACATCAAGGCTGGTGGCACCCTGTCCAGCTGGACCTGCACAGGTGCCAGCAGTGCAATCCACTGCATCTCAACCTTCCCATAGCAGGGAAAATCCTTGCTTTGTTGGGTTCCTTATACTGGGTTGGGACAAGGTGACGTTGATATGAACCACTGCTGCTGCCCTACCCTTGGTGCACCCAAGCCAAGCTGCAGCACCCAGCAAGGGGGGATGGGACCTCCTTGACCACGGGCTGTGCTGGAGCAGGATTTTCCCTCCCAAGCTGCATAGCTTCTCCCTGCTCTCCCAGGTTGTTGTCGTCAGGACGAGCTTGGGGTGAGATGCTCCTCATGTGGGATCCTTTGTGCCATGACACGTCTGACCTGAGGACAGAAACGTGGACAGCACGGCGTCCCCAGCACCATGTTGGATCTGTCATACTGCAGTACAACTGTCCCGGGGACAACAAGGTGTCCCCATGGGACAAAGTGGCCTGGACCTGCAGGGCCTCACTGTGCTGGGGACCCTCTTCCATCCTGGCTCCTCCTGGCTCTGCAGCCAGCAATCAAAACAAACACTTCTGCTGGAAAGGGCACCACGGCGGTGCTGGAAATAAATAACTAATTTCTCCCTCTATGATCTCAAGGAGCAGGAGAGGCGTGAATAGCAGGGCCCGGTGTCGGGCTGACTGGACTCCCCGGTGCGGTAATTCAGAGGATGACAAACATAAGCCAAAGAAAAATGTTGAAAAATGGGCACTTCCTGCAGCCCCGAGCAAAGGAGCTATTGCAGGGTTTGGAAATAACGAAGGCAAAAAGAGGGAGAGGGGGGAATTTTCTCATTGAGACCAAGTGAAGTGCCAAACAAGCTGCTATTATGGTGGCTTTGAGAGGCACAGGGAGGGGGCACTCGGGGGAAGGAGGGAAGGGAGAGGGAAGGGGGAGAGGACTCAGAGGAAAGGTGAGAGTGAGAGAGAGGACGAGGGGGATGCAAGGAGCAAAAGGTGCAAGGTGCAAGGTGGGAAATGGAGATAGGAACAGGTGGAGCAATAGTGGCAGGGCCACCACATGCCATGCCCATCCCCTGTGTCTTTCATCCATCCCCATCCCTACCCCCGGCCCCCTCCAGCCCCCACACCCATCAGCACCAAAAGGAAAAAAAAAAGAAAAAAAAAGAAAAAAAAAGAGATGGAAAGAAGCAAAACAAAATATCTACAGTTGTCGAGACAAGGGGAGAAAAATAGAGGCAAACATCCATAATTTTCTCTGTGGGGCTTTGCAGTAATTGAGCCATTTGGATAAAAATAAAGGCAGCAGGCCCTTTAGGTAAGAGGGGCTTTTGCAATCCAAGAAGCCTGAATTATGCGCCTTGTATCACTTGAAATCCCCCACCCCATCGCCCCCCTCCGCCTCCCCCACGTGACACCAAACCACTTTCCCTTTTCTTCTTTTTTTTTTTCTCCTCTCTTTTTTTAAGTACCCTGTCAAACATCGTCCAACGAGAAGAGAATTTCAGCTGTCACAACTAATTTCAGTGCGTGTGTGTGTGAAGGTGTGTGTGTCTCCGGAGTGGGGACAGTGGGGGGAGAAGGGTGATGGAGGTATAGAAACACTCCTTTCTTTTGCTTTTTTTCTTTCTTTCTTTCTTTTTTTCTTCAAAAGGAAAATTTACATCAGAAATTTGTTTCTGGAAGTGTTTAAGGCCTGTAATTTCCTCCTTTTCAATTGCTGCCTGATGTCTTGTTACTGCTTTGCTGGGCTCCATCTTCCTCTGTCTGCAGAGATTTACATCTTGCTCGTGTCCCCCAGGGTCAACCAAAACACCTTTTGCCAAGCAGCTGGCACCTGGAGCATCCCTGCCACAGGAAAATAGCGAGATGAGAAAGTGAGAAATGAAGATCTCAATGCTCTCTACCATGGCTGCAGATCATAGAATCATTTCATAGAATCACAGAGTGGTGTAGGTTGGAAGGGACTTTAAAGGTCATCGGTCTCCAACCTTGCTGTGGGCAGGGTTGCCAAGCACTAGAACACAGATGAAAGATGTTGGTGATGCAGATGCAAGCACCTGGTTGTTATAAATCCTTCTGTTGTCAAGCCATGTTCCTAATCCCCTTATAAACAGGGTTTTTTTTTTGCTTAGGGTTGAGATCTGCAATGATGTGAGAAAATGTTGGTGTTCACACAGCACACAGCGCTGAAAAGAGCTAAGAACAGCCGAGGAGAGCAACCAGAACTTTCAACATTTGGATCGTGGTTTCACTGTTGAATTTAACACTCTGATCCAGCAGCTTTGGGAAACTGGCTCTGGGGTGATACGGGTGCTGTTAGAGCAGTGTTCACCTCTGGGGGCCACAGACATGGATCGTAAGAGTCATAGAATCACAGAATGATCTGGGTTGAAAAGGACCACAACGATCATCCAGTTTCAATCCCCTGCTATGTTCAGGGTCACCAACCACCAGACCAGGCTGCCCAGAGCCACATCCAGCCTGGCCTTGGGTCTCCTGGAGCGGGTCCAAGGCAGGGCAAGAGAATGCACAGAGGCTGGAGCACCTCTGCATGGAGACAACGGAGTGCTGGGGGCGTGCAGCCTGGAGAACGCTCTGGGAGACCTCACTGCAGTGCCTACAAGAAAGCAGGGAGGGACTCGTCAGCAGGGAACGTGACAAGGGATAATGGTTTTAAATTAAAAAAAAAAAAAAAAAGTAGTTTTAGGTCAGATATAAAGAAGAAATTGTTTGCTCAGAGGGCAGCGCGGCCCTGTACTGCTGTGCGTGCCCCAAAGCAGGAGGTGCCCAAGGCTGCACGCACATGGTTGGGCCCAGCCCCGCCCGGCCCGCTGCTCAGGTGCACGCGTGGAGCCGCTCGGACGGGCAGCCCGCGCTCTCAGCCTCCCCCAGGCCCCGCACCAAGCTCCCCACCGGACCCGGCCGCGCCCCCTCCCACCGCCCCTCCCGCACCGCCCCGGGCCCCGCCTCCCCGGCCCACTTCCGGCGGAAGTGGGGGGCTCTTTCCCTTTCCGGGTGCGGGTCCCCGGGCGGAGCGGCGGGACGGCGCGGCGGCGGCGTCAACGGGCGGGCGCGGGGCGCGTGTCATGGCGGAGCTGGCGCAGGGGCAGAGCGCGGCGCCCGTGGGGATCAAGCCCGAGGGCTTCGTCGATGCTCTGCACCGGGTCCGGCAGGTGAGCGCGGGCAGGGCAGGGCCGGGGGGCGGGAGGAGGCCGCGGGACGCCGCTAGGCCGCGGGGCCGCCCTGAGGGGCCGGGCCGGGCCGCCGAGCGCCCCTCACGGCGCTGCTCTGAAGCCGCGCCCGGCGGCCCCGCTCGGCGTTGGGGACTCGGGGCGCTGCGGCGGGGGTCGCGGCACTGGGAGCTGCCTGGAATGTGCGGTCTGTCTGTAAGTGAGGCCTTCGTTAGGCTTTCTGCTCGGCGGCATCTCCGGTGTGAGGGAACCGTGTTTTCCCTCATGGAATGGAGGGGGTGAGGTGTGAGCTGCGATCGCTAGGCTCATGCAGCGTGTGGATGGCAATTGTGGACCTGCGGCTGTCGCCACCTCTGTGCCCAAGGTGGGACGCCTGCTGCCTGTCTGTGCCTCGCTTTGTGGAAAGGAGCATTGGGGATGAGCAGCTGTAGGTCTGCTGCATGGATGTCCAGAGGATTTGCTGTGGTTTGTGCTCCATTTCCCTCACAGGGAATGTCCCAGCTCTGACAGAGCTGCGCTCCACCTGCGCTCAGTAAGCGCTGTCTGACTGTTGCAAAGTGTGATGCTGGGCCTGGTGCTGGAAGACTGACTTGACTCTGATGTTGCAGGCCAGGTGGCAGTTACCTTCTGTTTCACAGACTTCCTTTTTTCACTTAAATGGGAAACTTTGAAGAAACTAATTTGGAACTTAGGATCTTTCAGGCAGTTGCTCTGGAGGGACTTGAGTGGCTTACCATCGCTCATGGCTCAGTTGTGAATCAGTGTGGCTGCAAATCCTGTTCTGCACAGTCTGCAGCAAAGGATACAGAGGTGCTTGCTGTTCCAGAGGAACACCCTGCACCTTCCCAGAAGAACTCCCAAGCCAGTTTGCCCTTCATCTGTTCATTTGCTTCTTAACAGAAGTACTGCAGTAGACGAGTAGCTGCCTCTTGGGTGAGGCCAAGCGTGTCCCTTCTTTCAGTGGCTAACAGAGCATCATGGCCTTGACTGTGTGTGGTATCTGAAAGCTTTCCTATTGCCTCAGCTTGGAGCAGTAAATGAGAGGTGTGCTTGTCTTGACCTGGTCATCCGTAACTGAAGGCCTCTTGCTGCATAAATGTCATTGAATTTTGATAATATAATTGCTTGCTAGCAGTTGAATAATTTGTCAGTAACTTGTCTGTGCACAAGAAAACATGGTTACCTGCTGATCTGTGTTGGAAGAACTGCAGTATGTACCACCTGTCTAATCAGTAACAGGTGAAGTGTGAAAGTGGGATGTCTTGGGCTGTGTTAGGCTAAAGCAGTTCTAGCTGAAACTGAGTCACGTGTGTTGTGTGGCTGCTGTTGTCACGTTTATAGGTTTAGGTGCCTTGTGTTGACACGTGGAGGAGATAAAGAATTCTTTGATATTTTATTTTCTCTGATTTTGCTGTTCTTAAGTTCATTATACTTGAAAGAATATTTTGGATTTCCAGTAGCATACAACCAAAGTTAGTCTGATCTGAAATGCTTAAAAATCCTCAAAGCTGTCAATTTCAGGTCAGGCACTGCAGCACAGCAGCTTTCATGCTACCTTTCATGCTGGACACAAGGCCTGTTGAGAAAAATGTTCCCTGTGTGTGTTCTTGGGAGTGCAGTGGATTACATTCTTGAGCAGTGTGCTGTGTGCTACCTGGTTGTTGTTTCGTTAGCATTTGTAGGATGAAAAACGTTGGCAAGCACTCTGCTGGCAGCTGTTTCCCTTACTGCCCTAGCAATCTGCAGCGACTCTTCTGGCTGGGAATCAGGTGTGATGCAGAGGCAGTTGCAACTGACATTTCTCTGGAGGTGATGGCAGAGCTTTCACTGAGTGTGTTCAGTGCAGCAGGTTGCCTGATGGTCCAGTGTGTGGATGTCAGCTTGTGTGTTGCTTCTGGCCAGTGTCGTAGCTTTTCAGAATACTACTTTTGCTCTAAGAAGGGAGGGAGCAGTGGGAAAAAACTTTGGTTGTAGCTCTTGCTTCCTGGGTTAGACTAGCATCTCTGATCTGATATTTGAATTATTTCAAAGCTTAAGCTTGCACTTAAGACTAGTAATCAAATCTGCTGAATTCAAGAGAGCCATTACAGTGAACTTGAGCTGCAGTACACTGTGCTTAGTTAGTAATAACTGAATAATTCAGGACAGAGAAGACTTTCCTGATCAATCACAATAACTGCGATCTTCAGTGACACTGGGATGTGAGCTGATGTGACAGACATCTGTAGTATTTTGGAAGAAACGACTGCTGTGTTGCTTTCTGTGCTTGTGCTGGACTTGATTGGATTTTTTTTGTGTGTGCTTTTAAATACTTGAGATGTACAGTAGAATACTTTCTCAAGTGAAACCTAGAGCTTTGAGACAGGCTATTCTGCACCTTCCACACCACATCTTGAGTGAGTGGATTAGTTTATGGGTTGTAGGTGGTGACTGATTTGTATGTGAGGGCAGCTGCTCCCAGGCATGGTAGCTTTTCTTCTGAGACATCTTGGGGTTGAGAGAGTTGGAAAGGATGTTTGTTCCCCTCTCCAGTAATGGGATCACCCAAAAAAAGCAGAGTTGCCAGTACTTTGGATAAAAATTGATTTCTGTTGGACTGCCCTTGGTTTAGCTCTCACTGACAGACAGAACAGCATCTTGTTTGATTCTTATCTTCTCTCCTTCTTGGCAGCCTCATTTTTTGTACAAGGTATGCGTTAGTGATTCCCTCAATACAGATACGTGTAGAATTATTGTAACCTGCCATGTATACCCTGAATCTGAGTTTCCAGAGGCGATGAAGAAGGAACGAGAAGAAAGCACTGTGGCTTAGCAGCCTGCGGTGGCTGATCTTGGGTACCTTGGATGACATGGTAACATGGATGAGGTGGCCTGAAGGCTTACTGTGAGTCAGTGGGCTGTATGTGTGTATCCCTTTCTAGTCTCAGCAAAATGGATGTGCTGGGTTAAAAAAAAAAAAAAAACAACAAACCACTGACATGCAGAGGGGCAAAAGCAGTGGAGCAGCAGCTAGCAGTACATTACTCAAGGTCATGTAGGCAGATAAGGGCTAGGTCTGCTTACTTTTGCTGTGTTCTAACTTTGGTGCTTATGTTGCTGCTGAACCTGTAGTAAAAACTGAGGTTCCCATTGTAAGTTGAGCACGAGAAGTTAAAATGCATTTTAACTGTTTTATCTACTTTAAAAGCTTAACTCTTAATTTTGCAGGGTGCTTTCCCTACTGTATGAGATGGCGTGTTGTCTGCGTGTAATCCCAGGCAGCTGGGAGGCTTTGGAGATAAGGGTGTGAGTTTCAATTAAGGAGGCAAGGGGGGGTTGGGGGGGAAGAGAGAGAATATCCCAAAAGCTGGTAGTGTGAGAATTGCTTTGACTCTCAGTTTGGCCCTGTGTTTGAGGCTCATGTGCTGGGGCAATGGCTGCGTGTGAAGCACAAGCAGGGATTTGCAGTGCTCTCCTGCTCAAGGAGCTGGCAGCTCTGGTGCTGGGGATCTGCTGTTCACACTGATGTGCTTTATGCTATCTTCCTTTTGTAGGCCAGGATCTTCTTCCCTGTGCAGGTGTGGTGTGTGATTTCAAATTCATAGTTCCAAACTATCAGCTAGCAGTTTCTGTACAGTGTATTTTTTTTTTCCTCGTATCGTTTAACAGGTTTCACAAAGGGCACTTTAAAATCAAATGTTCTGCCAGGGTATGTTTTACTTGACTACAGCTCAGTGGTGTAAGTTTTGATTGTGAGTTACGATGTTAAAGCTGTCAATGGATTATTGTAAAACTTTTTTTTTTATCTCCTTTCCAGCCCTGAAGTACTCAGGAAGTGTCTATGTTCTTTGTACCTTCGTTAAAGTCCTCTGCATCCCAAACAAGGGGCAAGCAAGTGAGTCAGGGGCTGGAAGCGTGACTGCAGTACAGCATCCAGCAAAGAGCAGGCATCTCTTCATGCTTCCTTGTGCAGAATGAACAAGGGCTTGTTCAGAAATATATTTCTCTGAGCTTACTGGCTCTTGGAGATGTTGATGTGCAGTGTGTCCTGTGTGGCTGGTCCCTGTGCTAGGTTATGGCTGAGCAGCACTTCCTCTTTGGGGTCTGGGTAACCACACTGTGGGTAGAATGGTCTAGTGTTACGTTCCCAGTTGCTCATCCAAAACTAGTTAGAATCCTGTTAAGGTAGAATGGATTTATTCTCCAGCTCCTGGCACTTGATTAAAACCAAGTTGTTGCCTTTCTAAAGGAGATTGGGAAGGAGTGGTCAGAATGCAAGAAAATGGTCCAAACTTGGAGCCCCTTCCAAACAAGGCATCAAGAGTATTTTCTGTTCTTTCTAAAAGCAGTGCCCTCAATCTTCCAAGGTTATTTCATACAGCATTTTTCACTACCCTGCGGTTCTGCATCTTGTGCGGTTGTTTATTCCACTGCAGCAGTTGATAGTGTCAACAGCCAGAATTACTGTAGATGTCTTTTTGTTGCAGTAAAACTTAATTTCAGAGACACCTTTAGTTATTTTTGTTGTTTGCCTTTGCCTTCGTTTAAAGCCTATCTTTGTAAAGTGCTCTTTTTTCATCTATTCCTTTCGCTGCTTCTCTGTGATATGCCAGGCGTAAGACGGCAAGATAGCGCTCCTAGCAAAGATCCCTTCTTTTTGCTGGAAAAGGAAGTGAGTGCTGTGCAGCACACAGCGTATTTGTTCTGTATTCTGCACTCTGGCAGAGTACTGCATGTAGGCAAGCTGTGCTGTGGGGCCGTGGTTTGCCCGCCCCTGAAGGGTGTATTTGGTAGTTGAGCTACTAAAGCTGGTTGGCTCTCAGACTTGGCTTACATTGGTTAACCTGGAGGACAGGTCAAAGAGCTCACCTCTGTCACATCAGTCCATGTAATTGTCTCCCGAATGTTTAACGTTTCACTTGTATTAAGTGATGCTTCAGAGTGCCTCTCACTTATTTTATTTGCTTCCTGTGATGCCTGAACGACTCCTCCTCCCTCAAAGTATCCTCCCTGCCTCCCAGCCCACCCTGGAATGGCTGTTACTCCTCCAAGGGCTGCAAGCAGAAGCACAGGCAACCTTAGCTGTGCTCGTACTGCAGGAAATAGAAACTTATTCTGGGCTGATCGTTTGCCCACTGGCTTATTCTTCGTACAGTAAACACGTACTGATCCAGCCCCTTTGACAAGGAGTCCCCAAACCTGTCCTTGTGCTGTGTATTTGCACGTTCTTCTCCTTCCACTCCTCTCACCCCCCACTGATGTGCAACTATGCATTTCTGTGTGTCTGGATATGCATGAATGCAGCAGAAATGTCTTCCTACATTGCTGTGATGGTGGCAGCTTCTCCAGGACAAAGCTGGGGGACTAGATTTAACTTGTCGGCTGTCTGCTGAATGAATGAACAAATCTGAATGTAATATTACAGCCAGCAAATGCATACTCATGACCAGGAAGAGGAGCTGGGTGAATGCAGTCTCAATTACACAAATATCAAAAGCAGGTGGAAGCCTGTTTACTTCACAAATAAAGCACTGCTTCCCAAAGACTTCTGCAAAGCCATCTATGTAGAAAAAATAGCAGCCAAGAGATTGTTGGACGGGGATAAATGCTTTGTTTGAAGAAGGAATGTTTAGCTGCGGTGGCTGAAACTGTAAATATGCTAACCAAGTTTTTATCATCTGTTTGTATAGATTGCTGCTAAAATTGGAGATATTCCTCACTTGAATAATTCGACAACACTCGTGGACCCGTCAGTTTACGGTTATGGAGTGCAGAAGCGGCCCCTTGATGATGGAGGTAAGTGGGGTATGATTAATCAGTCTTGTGAGTTCACTTCTGAAATCCATCTATTTTGGCAGCTGTCTTTTTTAAGGGCAGAAATTGATGCAGCTTGTTGTGTATAGATTTTGTTTGCAAGATTCCCCGTGCTGTTGAGTCTTGCATAGCACTGGGCTCCTAGGCATTAATAATAGTAACGTGAAGCAATTCTTTTCTTAGTTCTTGAACTCTGGGGATTAGCAGTCTAATTCTGTAGTTAGTCTTGTTCCATGCTAGTTTGGGGAGGGTACTTTGTGGAATTGTGCTGGGGCCTGTGTGCAGAGTACCAGGAACGCGTGGGCAAGATGTCCCTTGCTTTCTGAGCTCAGGCAGTGTATGGGGCAGTATTCCCTCTGCTGCTTCCCATGAGTCACAGCACAGCAGCTGAGTGGCTGCCACGTTCCATTTGCTTTGCCTTGCACGTGGATTTTAAGGAGAAACAGTGCTGATGCAAGTTGATCCAAGTTTGAAGGAAACTTCGTATGTTAAGACTATTCTTAAATCTCTGAAGCATTTAATGTTGACTGCTACCAATGAATAATTTACTGGGTAATTCTGGTGAACGTAATGAGTTGTTTGAGTTGTTATGGTTATAAAATAAATAATTTGTTTCTGGTCTTTGGGAAGAAGAAATGTTAGAACGAATGTTTTCTGCTATTACAAATCTAATGTGCACTGTGACAAGAAAAATGTGGTACCTGCTGCTGCTTAGATGCAAAGAGCTCAGTTTGCCATCTCTTTCTCTCCTAGTATTTCTGTCGAGCCAGATAGCCCTGCAGGTTGATTCTTTCCTCCATAGATACACTTGAGTACTGAGGAGATATGCAGAGCTTCAGCTCAGCACTTCATTTTGAAAAGATTTCATTTCTGTTTGATGCAAAGCTATGGAAGACAAGGGCTAAAAATACTGCCTGCCTGCTCCTTGTGCTGAAAAGCATGCTGGAGCACAAGAGGAGCTGCTTTCATGTGGAGCCTCTGGCTTGCAGACATGGTTGTTGTCTGAACAGATGCCACAACCCACTTTGTTCTCTGGCATTGGCTCTATTTGAGCAAGAGGTTGCTGCTTGTTCAGCTTGGTGTTTTGGGAAAGAGTGGGTTGGTAGGTGTGAGCTGGAGCTTCACTGTGTTGTTATGTGCTGGTTTCTGCATACAAAGGTGCTGGGCTGTCCAGCAGTGAGAGCAGTGAAACCTGCTGGGGTTCTTGTGATCAAACAGATGTGTTCAGTGTGGCTCTAATTGCTAGGGTAGAGCAACTGCAAAGAAACGGTTTGCAAACCTGTGCTGGCCATTTCCTTTCCAGCACTTTTCAGCTCTGCTTAAGGCTGTCCTCATGCAAAGGTCTGATCATGGACATTATTTCAAAGGATGTCATCTTAAGATGTTTCTTCCATTCCTGAACCATTGTTGGAGCAGGAGGTGTGAATAGATTTTATTTTTCCTTTGCCTTCAGTAATATTTAGTGTAAATTTGAAGATTGCTGAGCTGTCTGAATGGCCTGGGTAAGTGGCTGTATATGAGGAAAAAATGCACACAGTCCTCGAGGAGCCGTTTACTCAGAGCATTAGTCCTACTGTTTGTTTTCATTGATTCAGCAGACTGAACGTGAGAAATCCAACCTCTTAAGGTGTCCTTAAATGCATTTTTTAATATATGAAATAGCTTTAATGCCTGATAACAGCCCGGGTTAGACTTTGTACTTAAACTTTTACCAGTTAGCACTATTACTTGCTGACCCTTGTTTGTGTTGACACAAACCAGGTCAGTAGCACCGCAGGCTGCGCTGTGAAGGCACGTTACCTCTGGTTCCTTGTGCTGTCACAGGCAGCCCCACGTGGCAAAGACTGGCTTTAGGAAAGCTTCCCCGAGTGACTGGACTCCTGATTGCCTGCTTGCCTTCCTCACATACATCTGAAGGTTCCATAACTTCCAGATTAGGAAAGCATTGGGTCCTATTTGGATCTTTTAATGCCAACAAGGGGAATTGGGACCGCGTGCTCATGCTTTGCTGCATCTCCTGCTCTGAGCTCTGACGGTTTGGGGTCGTCGTCATCAAGAGGAGAGGATTTCTGTCTGTGCACGCTTTGGAAATATTGTGATGTGGGCGATTGGATACATTCTGCTACTCCAGATTGCTTGAAAGCAAATGTGGTAGTAAACCTTGTTTCTTCACCTCTGTACGCTGTGTGCTCGTGGCTGTGTGCAGCTCTTGCTGCTCCCTCAGCCCCGCGTAGCTGTTAAAAAGATTACTTCTGTTCCTAAGACCACTGGAAAAATGGATTGAGAGAATATGAGAGTATTTAAGGTGACAAGAGAACTGTCTGGCTTTCAGGGATATCTAATTCAGCCTGTCCATTTTTGTAAACAGCTGCCAGCACGGCTGATTGATGTCAGCTTAGGAAGTGGTCTTAAGACAGGATGACAGTGCGCTGGTCAAAACAAATTCAGCTGCTTTTAGAGCATTTCCAGGAAAAATAGACTTGTCATAGTATTGGAGGCCAGTCAGCATGAGTTCCTTTTGCATTTCCCTTAATGTAACATTCATCAAAAACAAATAGCTGCTGAGGCTGACCCTCGTGCCCTGGCCTATTGGTATTAGATAAAGTTTGAGAACTATTATTTTTTTTTTCTTGCTTCTTGAAGGATGTTTCCAGAAAGGGAAAAGAGGACCCCTGAGATGGGGTCCCTCCAAGATGCAGTGGCATCTTGCCTGTGGCTTGCTGCTGAGAGTAGATCCCAGCACTCCTCTTCATGGCCAGCAGCAGCTCCTGGCCTCCATCCAAATTAACGTGTCCATCTAGTTACCTGCACAATTGAATAAATTAGTTTATTTAATGCTAATCCAACCTCGAAGAAAAGCTTCAAAGGAAATGGGGGTCTTGTCTGCCAGAAAGACAGTGATTGCCAGAACCTCAGCGTTAGCCTTTGTGTGCTCCGTTCTGCAGTGCTTTGAAGACGCTTCCAGTGATGTAGCTGAAGGTTGAAGCATCCTTTGAGTCTGGGGAAACAAAGACAAGGCCTTGGAGAGGCCCTGTGCCACCTCCCCCCTGCCTTCCCCAGCCTCTGTGGTACACCCAGATAGGTTTTGTTCTAATAGAACCTGATTGTGTTAAAGCCTGGGGACTCAAACACATGCGATCCTGTTGTATGCAGAACTTGCATAGCTCCAACATGTTTTCATGGGCACAAGGAAACCTTATTCTAAGAAAAGTTAGCAGGGATGCTCCATCACACATCAGCATGACCAGGTAACAGAAATCCTCTTGGCAGAGGCTTAACGTGCTGCACGAAATGGCAGCTCTCTTCAAAACTGCCCACATGTTTAATAAGGCAGCGTAAAGGTGCAAGCATTCTCTGTAAAGATACACAACAAAGGCAGGCAGGAAAATTGGTTTGGACCATTAAATACGTACTAATATTTAAGGCTGAACAACAACTCTGGTAATTATTACCTTTATTGCATCTTTCTGAAATTTGTGATGATCCAATTCTGGTTCAGAAGTGTGAAATGCAGCCCCTTTCCACCACTTTCCAGGAGCGTCTGGTTTTGTTCCAGCCATGAGGATATCCTCAATGACATTGTATATTCCTATCGTGCACGTTAATTTAGTGGGAGGCACTGATCTGTTCTGTGGGGTGGAAAAAAATCTGCATTTGTTTAGAGTGTCTGTTAGGTAGAATTCAGTTAAAGGTGAAGCCTAAAGAAGAGTGAAGAGTTATCAACCAGCGGGTGCCATTAACGGGAAATTGTGCTTATTTTATTCAGTATTTTTCCTTGTTTGCAGTAAAATGACTGCAGTTACAGTTAAATTGTACTCAATAGGTGTAAAAAGGGGGAAATGTGGACGTGGCTTGTCAGAGTTCAGCCCACTCCCCAGCAAGAGGGAGGTGGGGGAGCAGGATGGCAGCTTTGGTGCTGCAGCAGGCATCTGCTGCCCCGGCCCTGCCTCTCTATTAGCTTCATCTTTCATAGCAAAATGGGCATTTTAAGGGAGTAATCAAACCTTCAGATTGTTGGGATGAGGAGCTATTTCTTAGGATAAGATTTCTGTTTTCCCTGCAAATGGGGAGAAATCGTATCTGCCTTAAAGCAAGTCACCCCAGCTTTCTCTGCCTGCTCTGCTTCACAGCTCCTGGAGGCTGTGTGCAGAGGGAATGGTGTCCTCCTTTAATTACTGGGGCTTTGTTTGCTTTTATCTAATTGGCACAATAAATATATATAAAGTAGGCATGAAATCTATCTGTCTGATTCAGCTTCTTGTGCTCGCACAGTTTTCCTCTAGGAAGCTGTCTCTGGTGTTACGAAATGATGGCTCTTCTGTTCCTTGCATGAACTTTGGGATGTGATTATAGGATGCATATCTGTCTCATAATTTGTGGGCAGCAACTGCAATGTAAGAGACTGCAAAGAGATCTGCTGAGGTGAATCCAAATGCAAAGTGGCTGTTTAAATACTGCTGAGTGCTAGGAGCACTTCTTCCCACACGTGGGGGTGCTGAGTGGCCTGGTCCTGTCCTGCAGACCTATTGCTTTTGGCAGAGATACACCTGAGTGCTGGTAGGGGCAGGGTGGTGAGATTCCGGATTTGTTTGATCACATTTGCTCAACTCTGCTGCGGCAGCTTATCAGCAAGAGCAAATATCCCCCATTACATCACCCACCTTTTTCAGCTGCGGCGTTGATAGTTATCAAATTAGAGCTTTTTATATTCGGGGTGAGAATATGCAAAAGCGAACCTAACAGCGTCAATAACGCAACAGTTGTCTTATCGCTGAGCTGGAGAGAGTAATAAAACATATATGGTCGATATTTTGGTCCTGAACTATTATCGAGATATTGACGCACCGCAGAAATAGGATATTGACTCTCTTTTGTCTGCTTTATTGGAGTGTTTGGCCAGAAACTTTGTGTGGTTTTTTTTTTTTTCCTACCGGATTCTGTGTGCTTGGGATGCATCCGCTGTCTAACCCTGACAGCTGATTGCCAATTTATTTCAGGTCAGAGAATGTGCAGGTTGCTGTAAGGTAGTTTGAAACAGCGTTTTTATTATCACGGCTCGCGTGTCGTTGGCCAGTTCCATTTGTTTCTCGCTGCTCGTGCCCTCCAGGCATGCAATATAATCTGCAACTGGTTGTTAGGACCAAATGGTCTGGTTTTTAGCTGGTTTGCTGCGGGCAAAGTCCTGTAGGAAGCCCAGCAGGGCATGTGTTCCCACTTTGCATGAGTTGGTCTAATGATATTTTCCCCCATTAACGTTTGGAAGAAAGATCTAATCTGTGGGGGCTGGGGGGAGCAAGTCTGTCTGAGGGCTGTCAGCTGGGAGATAACAGCTAATGGTAACGGGCTGCCAGCTGACATCACAGATATGCCTGGAATGCTCAGTCAAACATGAGGGGGAAAAAAGTACAGTTTGGGTGCCACGAGGGTTCTGAACAGACTTCTTCCTTTAACAGGTCTCCGTGTAAGTGGGCTCCATGGAGCACAGATAAGAGATACAGAGAGAAGTATGTGCGAGCAATCTTCAATGCTTTTTGCCTAGACTAAATCTCCGAATCTGCTCAGCCTTTATGTTTGTCTGTGGTACATACGGAGCACTTGACATGTCTTTTCTCCCCTTGCAGTCCCACCTCTCCCCCTTTCTCTTTTTTCACGTTGGGTTTAAATTGGGAAGGAGGGAGGTGAGTTGTGGGGATTTGGATTTGGGCAGGCAGGATTTTCTCCCATGACTCTCAGCATGGGGAGACGCAGATCAATTCCCTATCCTGTGTTCAGCTGGACACTGGGTTATGGTGTGTGCTGATCAAGAAATCCCCTCCTGTTTTGTACCCCATAATGCATTCATTTCAGCTGCTGAACCTAAATTACTGTTTTGCTTTTCTTTCTTTTTTGATGAAATGGTAAGAACTCTTTTTCTATAGGGATGAAGTTAGTTTATCCGTGCTAATGCTTTGATTTTTTTCTTCTCCTTTTTTCTCTCTCTGCCACAGTAGGTAACCAGTTAGGGGCCCTGGTACATCAAAGGTAAGCAGTGGGTTATGTTTTATTATTTATTGATCAATTCTAATTGTTTATTGATCCACCATCTGTAGTAGTGTTAGGAAGTCAGAGGTTGGGAATGTGGAGAAATTGTCAGCTTGGGTTTTCTGCAGGCTAAGGCTTCTGCTAACCCTTTAAAAGCTATTTGTTGTTGTTAGGAGAAAAGAAGAGTTGAAGTAAAACTTGGATTTGATTCCTGTAGCTCTGCAGGACCAAGCAGAATAAATTATCTCCTTTTCCTTCTCCTGCCCAGTGGGAAGGAAAGGGATGGGGGGGAAAAAAAAAAAAGGCAAACTGGCACTTTGACAGAGTTTGAAAATGTTAAACAAGCAGGTGGGTTTTTATTTATGTGTACACATGTATATTTTTTTTTCCTGGGTTTGTTAATGTAAGGTGACCTGGGATGATTCCTTTGATTGTCAAAGATGTTTTGAGGAGACCAAAGCAAATGAAAGTTGTTGCAGAGCATCTCTTAGCATCAAATACAGGAGTGGATTTCTCAGTAGGGCTGCATGCAATTCGTGGGCAGCGTTGTCTGCTCTGCTGCTGTCTGCCACCTCTGTTCTACCAGCAGTGATGGTTGTGCAGGGAATTACACACTGCTTTTGAGACTGCTGTACAAACTGTGTGAAATGCATATGGCAGCATACAGGGTTTGCAAGTTCTGTATTTGTTGTTGTTTTATATGAAATAGAAACGGCAAACAAAAGTCCCACAAGGAATTTCTTCTGTGCTTCACTGTAGTCAGGTCTTAGGAAATTGCTTTGGGTGCTCATGTGTTGAGGCACAGATGTGCTGAAAAAGTCCAAAGAGCAACAGATAGGGGAAATCTTGAGATGGTAAAGATGATCAGAGACAGCTGTTGTAAATTCCGAGGAAAAGAACCGTAAGTACAGGCAGGCAAGAAAGTAAATTTGAGTATCAGAAGGAGCATTCCAACCAGCATTGGCATTGGTTAGTGTCTCCTGGCAAGAGCGTATCAGAAAGCAGCAGGCAGAGGCTACGGCTTCGAAGCTGTCAGTCTAAACATTGAAGGAACTTTGCTGCTTTTCTCTTAAATCTGTCTGGAGCACGAATGACAAAAAGGTTCTTCCATTGAGGATAACAGTAGAGTAGAAATATATCCAGTGCAGGAGAAATGAGGTGTGTTGTCTCTGCAGCCAGGGCACGGAGCAGGGCCTAAAGGTCTCTTCCAAAACAGTTTTAATTGTGATGTAGTATTTACTTCTCTGTGTGCATTAGCCTTATGCTGTGCCTTGTTTCCACAGCACAACATCTTCTGTCATCTTCTGAGTTGTTTGTTGTAATGACCATTCGATATTTTTTTTTTTTTTTTCTTCCTTTCCTTTCAGGGCTGTAATAACAGAAGATTTTAAAGTGCCTGATAAAATGGTTGGATTCAGTAAGTACCTTGCATGCTTTTGGTATGGTTCTTCTGTGCAAGAATGCTGCATGTTCTGCTGGGATAAGACATGCTCACAAGTTTTTGTGCTTTCTAGCCTTGGGTGAGTCTTGTCTGATGCTTTGTGGGGACCACATCATCTGCATTTAAAATCCATGTGCAAATGGCATGGAAAAGCTTGGTGTCCCAGTAATGAGAACAAGTCTGCATGGTGCAGGCTACTGAGAACTGTAGTGCTTCTGTTCCTTAAATGCCAAATAACATGCTACATAAATATATCAAAAGCGAATTAATTTCCCCTTGTTGAATCACTTTCCTTTTGAGTATGCAGAAGTGTGGGAGGTGAGGGAGGAAAACAATATTTAAATGTTAAAACAAGACTCGACTCAAGGTGAGATAAGCAGAATTTTAAATTTTTCATACCTTTGCTGCAGGAGAACACAGCCAGTATGCGTTGCTCAGCTGAGGTTTTTTCCCTAGACTTGTGTTCTTGGTGCTGTTCTCTTCTAAGCTTTATTTTAATTCCTCCCTGCCTTTTGATGATCATTACTCTTTCTTTCAATGGCGCCCTCCTGCTGTTGTGACTGCAGAGATTGCATTTACTCTTCCACTGTTAGGTATCTGTGCATCTCTCCCAGTTTGGTATACAGAGAGTAAAAAAGAAATTAACAGCCCCAGTAATTACCCCTTAGGGCAGTAACTGTAACACTGGAATTCACGAGAAGGAAATCTGTCCTTCCACCAACCTTTTCTTATTTATCCATCCTGGCACCATATGTGTGGAGGAAGGGAAGTCAGAGGGGTTCTACAGCTGGATGAGATGGGACCCTGCATATTGGTGCATCAGCTGTGTATTCCATACAATCCTGGTTCAGCAGCAGCCAGGTGTGGGAGAGAGGGTCTGATTCATAAATCATAGAATGGCTTAGGCTTGGGTTGGAGGGGACCTCGAGGGCCACAGGCAGGGCCACCAACCTCCACGTTTAATACTAGACCAGGCTGCCCAGGGCCCCATCCAACCTGGCCTTGAACACCTCCAGGGAGAGCTGGGAGGTTCTTCTGCAGGAGCACCTTGTGCCAGGCATACCTGTCTGACTTGACAGTTCTGCTCTTCTAAAGGATAGGAGTGGTGATAGGCACACACTGTGTCTCCTCAGTGTGTCTGTTTGTGAAACAACTGTTTGCTGACCCTAAATGTTAAGAGAGATGGGTATTTGTTTTCCTTAAGGTTTGATTGAGCGTTTTGGTGTGTAGCAGTTCTGAGCAGACTGGATAAATAGCATGTCTTTTGAAACGAGGTAGTAAAACACGAATTTTAAAGAGAGAAAAGCAAAAGTCCTTAGCTTTTTTAGGTTCTCAAATAACTGGTTTATTTGTTTGGGCTGAAATACACCTAGATGATTCCCAGCAGTGCTCAGACTTGCACCTTCTATCTTACCTCCTTTCTTATCTCCATTCCAGTGCAAGACAAAGTGGTTGGGTTTTTTTGTTGGTTTCCTTTTTGATTGTTTTGTTTCGATTTGTTTTTTAAATGTAATCATACTGTGGATGCCTCTTCTACAATCCTGTAGTCAAACTGTACCTTTATAGAGAGCTGCAACGGAGTAGAAGGGTGGAAGTTGCTCTGCGGTTTTTTGGGATAAGCAGCTGATGCTTGTTGAACTCATTTCAGTAATCGGCAGGGGAGGTGAGCAGATCTCACGGATTCAGATCGAGTCTGGCTGCAAAATTCAAATTGCTCCAGGTAAGAGCCTCGTTTGTGGTGGGTGAGCAGGTTTTAGTGCTGGAGAATGCCGTGTCCGTTGAATCAGGTGCCTTGGTCATCATTTGTGAGTGGTGGCAATGCATTATATAGTAGGCTGACGTGTTGGGAGGGCTGTTGTAGGACTGGGCTCCCTGAGAAAACAGGTTTGTCGGGTGGTTTAGGGAATTGAATAGTTAAGGAACTGTCTTTAACCAGCAGATGGGTACAGTGCAAATGGATGATCCACGCTGTTAAAGCAGAAATCGCTTCTGCTTAGTCTTCTCCTGGCAGTGCCATTTAGCTCAGCTCCTGCAATTTATCTCTGATCTGCTCCAGCTCCTGGCAGAAAACATTTCAGGAGGGTGGCAGCACTTCTTCATACAATTTGCCTTGCATTGAAAAAAAATGGGACTGTGCCGTTTGCTCTGCTAGTGCTGCAGCCTGTTTGCTTTGGGGAAGGCTGTACTACAAGTGCTGTGCAGGATACTGTTGATGAATGTAATCTAGGTTTTAAGCTTGCCTTTAATTGGTGGGGAAGGCTTTAAAATAATACAGATATCCAGCAAATCATTTTAAAATATATTGACCCTGGATGTCTCCTGCTCTGTGTGCAGAGGGGAACGTTTTCATTAGTACTCGATACTCACTGAAACTGCTGCCATTTCTTAGTTCTGAGTATTAATGTAGGACATTATTTTTTTTTAGCTTCTAGCCTGTGTGAGGAGTCAGCACTTTTCTGCCTGCCTGACTACTGAGGGCAGTTCAGGTGCTAAGTGTTGGGAAGCATCTGATCTCTGTTGTCTTTCCTTTGCAGACAGTGGTGGGATGCCTGAGAGGCCCTGTGTGCTCACCGGGACGCCAGAGAGCATTGAGTGAGTTCTGATTTTATTCTTCTCCTTTCTCCTTTTCTCTTTTCCCTAATGCTGTGCTCTGTCAGTGGTGCTACTTGGTTAGCCACACCAGCAAATGTTGGCCTAGAGAAACTTGAGGGTCCTGGAACACAGAGCCTCTTGGTCTGATGCTTTGAACTGTGCACCTCAAAGGCTTTTTTCCAGTTTCAGTTTGAACCCTCTGCAGAATTGTCCATGAAATTCCCCTCCGCAGGGCAAGGTTGCTCCTAGGGCACCTAGAATGCAGTTTTTGAGCTGCAGCTTTGCAGAATATTTAGCTAAGCTGTTGAAGGGCACTTCTCTTCTCCCCTTCGCTTCCCTCCTATTGAGCTGACATCCTTGCAGCTGAAGAAGGTCTGCATGGGGCCTCCAAAGCCTGTTGGTGCCACTCCAGAGATACCTGGAGGTGTTGGTGTTGCTGCAGAGCAGCACAAGGCCCATGGGTGTGCTTGCCTCTGCACTGCTGCCAACAAGAAGCAAAGGACTGAACCAGAAATTCTTGAATTCTGATCCCTGCATGGTACAGACACATGGCTAGCCAGCAGGGGTTTCTACTCTTTAGGCCTATAGAAACTTTAGGGACAGTGTTTCCTCCCTCCCCCTTCCCAGGAGCTGAGTTTGAGACTCTCACAAACCAGTTGAGGACCTTCTGCTGGAACTGGATCCAGGATCCTCAGGCTTACAGGAACACACTTAACATATGGAGCTGCTCTTTCTCTCCCCAGCCTTTGGGTAGGTGGGTTTTTTAAAATCCATCTGGAAATCTTTGAGTTGCATTTGATAGTGAAAATACATGGGCGCAAAGATGTCTCTCTAAAGAGAAGACAACCATCATCCTTCCATTCCTAAGAGATCTAAGGGTACTTAAATCTTTGTACTCTACCATAATGATGCAAGTGGTGAGCCAGAATAAATACAGTTGGTAAGCTCACATTACAGGACAGGTGATGTATTCTTGCTGATACTGAAGTGCTTTTTCTCCCTTTGCTAAAAGATATTTCAGAACAATAGCAAAATATTAAAACAAAACTGGGATGCCCAATAAAATGCAGTTGGCGCTGATTGGGGGAGAGGTACAGTGAAGACCTCATTATTCAGAAACATGCAGTTAAATGTCTTTAAATCAAAATAAAATAACAGGAAAGGTGAGAATATGCAATTTTTGGAGCAGAGCAATGTGTTAAGGATGTGGAACTAAGTGAAATTTTGTTTGCTTCTGTGCTGAAATTGTTGTCGAGTTAGCTTTGAACTATTTTTTCAGGTTACTCATAGGAAAAATTATCTGAAGTGAGACAACACTTCAAAAACAGCAGATATTTAGATTGGTTTTGTGTGAGGGGTATTTCCTTTAGTTTTATCTGGAGGCAAACTAATAGAGCTAATTTCCCAGTGACCTCTTCTCATCCGATATGCGTGGTGTATTGAATGTTGTAATCTCTGTTGTCACACTTTATGCAGAATATCAAGACAAATGAACAAAACTTTCCGAATCTCTCAGTATTTGAATCAGGCTTCCAGAAATTCCACCTTTTGCCTTGTTTTGTGAGAAAGTTGAGAGAGGGCAGCACTCTGATCTTTGTGCAGGCTCAGATCACCATCCCTTGAGCTGTCTTGAGTGAATGCCTGCTTGCAACGGATGGTTTCATGCCATTTCTTCAAGTTTTTAGAGAGAAGACCATCCATGTGCGGTGCCTGAGTATGAAGTGGGGAAGACTCTGCTTTAGACTGAGCAGGGAGCTGGTGGCTTTCTTCTACCTATTTGAGAAGTGTTGTTGGAAAAGGGAAGGAAAGGGATGTGTTGATAACAGCAGTCCTTGTGATGAAGGGAAGATGTATCAGCTACTTCTGATATGCTAAAAAGAGAAGATATCTTTGCTTTTTGTGTCTGTCTCTTTTCATGAGTAGAAGAACCCAGTCTTCCACTGGTTGCTGCTATGGTGTCCTTGCCTCGCTTCCTGTGTAGCTTTAGCACCTGCTGCTTGGGGCAGAGGCTGTATTAGAGCAGTGTTGTGGTGCTGCTGGTGAGGGTGGGCAGAGAAGAGCAAGGCATTGTCTGTGAGGGATCGGAGCGGTTCACCAATGTGCTGTGTTGTTATTGAAGCACCATCTGTTTTGTCTTGATCAAGAAGGAGAACAGAGCTTGAGGGTGTTTTGTTTTTGCCAAATATTACATATACATGGGGGAAATAAGTTTAGAGAAGTTCAGGGTGTAGAGCATCTTCATTCAAATTGTGCACCCCACATGTAACAGCTCCTTAACTTCCAAAGATGTTGGAGCATGCTGCTGCTCTTCCTTTTCTCTTCCCCTTACGAAAAATCAAGCTGCTTATAAGTAATCATGACAGGGGAAATTGGATACCGCCCTCTCCCCCAAAAATAAAGTTGTGCTAACTGGTTTCCTTCATCTTTTCACTTCTCTCCCCGATTGCTTCACATTCCAATGGTTCCAAGTCTCTTGGTCACACGGAACAATGTTGTCTAATGGTTGTTTCCCTCGATTCTTTTCCAAGACAAGCAAAACGGCTACTGGGGCAGATTGTAGATCGCTGTCGGAACGGACCTGGTTTTCACAACGATGTTGATGGCAACAGTACGATTCAGGAGATTTTGATCCCGGCATCCAAAGTGGGTCTAGTCATCGGCAAAGGAGGTGAAACAATAAAACAGTTGCAGGTGCGCAAGATGCATTTACTTTAGGGCTCTCTTCCCTACTGCAGCTTCTCTAGATCAACAAGAGCGTGCTGAAATGGAGAGCCTATAAATGCTCTAACCTTCTACAGCAGGGACTACTCTTCTGCCTTCGGAAAGCTGGACCCAACCTTGTGTTGCAGAAAAAAACCGGTTTAGCCCCAGCTACACATGCAGTGGAATTTCCACAGAACTGTGGGGGAAAAACCTCGTGCTTTAGATAACATTTGGTGCGTGCTGTTCAGGATGGGACCCCTTAGACAAGAAAAGTCTATCTCTAGTCTGCTGCTGCAATAGTTTTTAATGCCAGCCATGCTGTTGTAGAGTGCTCTGCTTCTCCTTTGTTGTTGATCTGTGATAAAGCTGGCATTTGTCTTCCTTTTTTTCCTCATCCCACCCTTTCTAATTAAGTGTGTTGTTATGTATAAATCCATGTTCCTAGACATTCTTTATGCTGACATCCTGTACAAGTTTTTAAAGGATAGAGGTTTCCAGAAAGGAACCTAGGTCAAAAACGCAGGTTTTTTCGTTGCCCTCTGTCATCCAGTAGTTTTAAGGCTGGTCACGTAACTGCTATGTGTGGACAGCTACAGATTTTGGAAAGGGCTTGAGAAATCAGTTGCCAAGGTAGAGTTCTGTTTTTGCAAGAGATTCACCTGTTTGAGATCATCAGGAGTAGCACACTTCCTGGCAGTCCTTTACACTCTAGGACTGTTACTCAATTTGTGTTCTAAGTACTTGTGAAGAGCTACGGTAGTGTTCTGCCAAGCTGCTAACATGACCTACCTAATGTCTAGTAACCAAAAGTAGTCCCTTGTTTTAGAGACTCTGCTTAGCAAAGTGCTCTGTGCTTTTTCTTCAGGAGCGAACAGGTGTGAAAATGATAATGATCCAAGATGGTCCAATGCCTACTGGAGCAGATAAACCTCTCCGTATTACTGGAGATGCATTTAAAGTACAGGTATGTAATAAAAGTAAGCAGTTGCCCCAGAGTGTTGGAGGGAAGTTGAAATATATTTGTGGACATCTAATGGAGTCGAATCCCTTATAAATCCATCATAAATGCTATGTTCCCTGCTGGTTTTGTTCTGTGAAGTCAAAGTTTGATAGAACGAGTCAGAACAAAGACTAGCGAGTATTGGCCAGTGTACAGTATGACCTGGGGGCTCTCACTACATGTAGATATTAGACCTGGGTAGAAGAGCTACGCAGGAAGGTTTGGAGAAGGTAGAGTGGAAAAACTTTCCAGTCCTGAAGCACAAGTCACAGCTGCGTGTTATTTAAGCAGCTGGGTTCGCAGTGACCAAATAAGCAGAGGTTTGAGAAAGTTTTGTGGAAGGCTCAATATCTCAGACAGCCAACTGACGCAGGTAATTAAAAGTAGAAAAAAATAAAAGAGTAAAAACTACAACTCCTGAAACCAAGGGGTTTACTTAATGCTGATATGTCATCCTCCTTGTGTCAGGGTTCTGCAGATACAGTCGTGTTGTGGTTTCAAAGCAAAAACCCATGATCCTGCAGAGCTTGGAAGATTGCAGCATGATAGGAGCTCTTGATTTAAAGTTTAGGTGTGGCACGTTCCACTTCCCAGCAAGTGCCTTTCATACCTTGCTGGATACTTAAATCTGGCTTAGCAGTCCTGTCTCTAATAAAAGTAGTTCTGTTTCATTGGATCTTCCTAATCATAAACTGCTGTAACAATTGATGCTGGTCAGGTATGTTTGGAGAGAATTTTTCAAGCCACTTATTAGTTAAATCTAAAGCCCAGTTGTATTAATTTCCACAGTTCTTATACTTATTGCAAAGGTATAAACATGTAGAAAGTTTAATGAGATTCTTGCTGCTTTTAACCAAGTCATACTGTGAGTGCTGAGGCTTTCCAGATGGTTCCTTCTGCCTTGCAACATTTGCTGTTGTCGCATCTTCTGTGCCATAAATCATGGCAAGCAATTGTGAAGGCTTCATAAACTGGAAGATCTTTGAGGCATTTAAAGTTCAGCACACTTAGAATGCACTGTAGAAACTCATTGAGTCCTTGGTTTTGGTGGGAATCTCTGCATGCTGCAAAGTGCAGAGTTCTTAACTATCTCACATCGCTAGGCAATACCTCCATTGCCCTTATTTCTGTCTTAGCATCTCTGAAGTATCTTGAGTTGTCCATTTCTGTAATAAATGCTCCGGGGACATGGGAAATACATAAGAATAGGAAAGGAGGCAGATTTGCCAGCGTCCCTCAAACTTTCAAATCGAACCCAAGCATCTGAACCTTGACAGAAACAGTGGTACAGGCTTTGACAGGCAGTCTTTTTTTTTTTTTTAATGGTGGCTTACTGCTGGCTTATTTCCAAGGTATGGTTTTACTAGCTGAGCATACATGCAAGTTTGTGAAAGGCCTGGAGAGCTGCAAGTAGATAGGAAGAACACGCATTTGTTTCACACAAAAAAAAAAGCCTTGCTGGATTGCTGCAGACTTGAGTGTAACTTTGAGTGTCAGTAAGCTGGCTGCTGCTCTCCTGCCTTCTTGTACGTGCTCTCTGCCTCTTAGCAGACATGCTGACTACTGTGCTGCCGGAGCATCTGCTGTACTGCTGGTTTCAGCTCTGTCCAGTAGGAGAGGATCTTCCTTCAATTAAATAAAAAAAAAATAAAGTGGGGACAAAGTGATTGTTTTAAAAGCAAAAGCTCTCTTTTGAAAGACTGAGGTACACAATTGCACAAAGAAACTGCAGCCTCGTGCACCTGGCAGACTCTGACATCTTCCACATCTGATGAAAGCAGATCTCCTCTGACAGTGGTCAATTAGCCACTATCGAGGCCCTAACGCCGAGATGGCAAGCAGGATATTTTAAGCTAACTGTAACTTCTTTCCCCATGTAGCAAGCAAGGGAAATGGTACTGGAGATCATCCGAGAGAAAGATCAGGCAGACTTCCGAGGCGTACGCAATGATTTCAGTTCTAGAATGGGAGGAGGCAGCATAGAGGTATGTTTTCTTCACAAGTACTCTGCTAACCTCCCTGTGGGACGGGCAGTGGGTGGAAGTCCTCAAGTTTCATGTGTAACCTGTGAGCTTTTTTTTAAATGCATTGTTTTCTGTTGCCAGAAAAGTGAGTCTGGCTGCGAAGGGGAGTTCTCATGGACTCCCAGATGGCACTTTTCTAACTGTCGTTTGAAGTTGCATTCTTGTAGCTCAGAGTTCATTTAGTGGGGAAGGAATTTGTGGCCACATGTTTGTTTTTCTTACAGAATATCTTTGTGTAGCCTGGAGCTGCTTAACATGGCCCATCTCCTTGTTAAATCAGAGTAACTCAGTCTAGTTCTGAGCTTTCATACTGCTTTGCCTTTCCCATCAGGTCTCTGTGCCCAGGTTTGCTGTTGGAATTGTAATAGGAAGAAATGGAGAAATGATCAAAAAGATTCAGAATGATGCTGGAGTTAGGATTCAATTTAAACCAGGTTTGTGTGAGGATGGAGAGCCATTGCTTTCTGACCACAGTTTGGGATCGCTGCAGTGATTCTGCTCTGAGGTTACAGCAGCTAGGCTTTCCTCACTTAAAGGTGCATTGTCTCTTTCTGTAAGCTGTTTAATGACATACTTGTTCCTCGTGCACTTTCTGTTGTTCAGAAAGTAAGATTATATACGTCTTACTTACAAACGTTAGATGTCACAGCAATAATGTCTTGAATGGTAACTGTATGGGCAAACAAAATAACACTTCTGTTTCCTGTTAAGGAGTTCTCCTTCAGGGCATGAAAGCCTTTGGAGATCAGGAGTTGATTAATTCTAAGTAACTTTCTCTGGGTCCTTGGCTGTCTGATTACCTATCAAAGCTGCCTTTGTCCTCTTAAAATTATATCAATCTCTCTCATGACTTTTTGACATTTGAAAGTGTTGTCTTTTGAATGCTGTCCCCTCTGCAATGAGATTTTGTCTCCTTTCAGTATGTGGAAGTGTGGCTGAAGGTGGAGGGGAGAGAGAGTTTGGGCTAGATGTGTTATATATGAAAGTGCTGCTGGCAGTGGTGGTGCTGGAAGGAAGCTTTTGTTGGTGGGTGGATATTTTCTTCTTTTAATTTAGTCTTTGTCACTTCTCTTCACAGATGATGGGATTAGTCCTGAAAGAGTCGCACAGGTCATGGGGCTTCCCGATAGGTGTCAACATGCAGCACACATCATCAGTGAGCTTATTCTAACAGCACAGGTGGGTTCTGGAAGCTCCTGGGAGGAAAGTGCTTATAGGAGAATGTCTGTGCATGCAGCTGTGTGGATGAAGAACGTCAGTGTTCAGTTTTTCTTCTTGTAGGCCAAGGAGAGAGCTGCTGGGTTTGATTTTTTTGTTTTTTAAAATGTGACCAGGGCTGATTGAGCTATGGGAGGGTATCCTGTTCTGAGGCAGTATCAATAGGCTTTGTTGTAGTTCTATGTTGAGCTGTTTTTCAAAGCTACTTGAAAATGGTGACCTAATGGACCGTAGTCCAGCATTACAGAGAGACAGAGGCTGGAGGCTCTGCTCAGAAGGACTGGGCACTCTGGGCAGCAGAGCGTTCTCAGTGCTCACAGCACCTCCTTTGCCACCTCTCCAGTCTCTGGTCCTCAAGTCTGGTGGCTGTGGGAGGCAGCGGAAGGTGAAAAACTTTCACGTATGCAGTTACTGTTTTCTTGGACACAAACATACGGCATTGTCCTGGAGCAAGAAGAGTGGAGATGAGCGAGGCAGTAGGGCAAGCTCATGTGGAGAAGGTTGCATATTCCCTTTTTATTAGGAGGTAAATAGATTGTGTCTAATTATCAGGTTTGGAACGGTCTAATTTCTCAATTAAGGTTCAATCTTGTTTTCTCTTTTTGCCTTGAGATTTGGTTTGAATACTTGTGTAAGATTTTTGAGATCTGTCCTGGTAGCCTTTGGCTGCTATGGCCTTTACTTCAGGAGAAGTTAGCTATCTGAACTCGGTATGTCCTTTAAGTGTCTTTGAACTGAAAAGCTTCCTTTGGAATTTCTGGAAATTGTGCCTTTCAGCTGAGTAGTTCCAGAAGTTCTTTAAAGAATGACACTGGAAAGAGTTTGGATGCTAACTTGTGCATATGTTGGTGCCAAGATCTATTATTGGTTGTTCTAAGCAAACCTCCCATCGCTAAATAAAAGCAGCTGATGCTTGTTTATAGGCTTATTTCAGCAGATACAAAGGCACGCATTTTAAAAAAGAGTTTTATCTTCCTGAGTCAGGAAGGCAGCCGTAGCCCACGTCCCTGGCATTGCTTTAAATTGCTCCTAAGTCCTGAATGTGAAAGTCCAAGAATATCTTAATTCAGTGCCATTGATTACAATGCAGTTTAACTTCCTTTATTTTGTTTCTAATGTGTATTGAGGCAAGCAAAACAAAAAGCAAAAAACCAACAAACCACTGACAGAAATTCTTTGCCTTCCAAGGAACGAGATGGCTTTGGAAGCTTGGCTGTAGCCCGAGGAAGAGGTCGTGGCCGTGGGGACTGGAGTGTTGGAACCCCTGGGGGCATGCAGGAAATCACCTACACGGTGCCAGCTGACAAGTGTGGCCTCGTTATAGGCAAAGGTAGGTCTGCTGACACTCAATACTCAAGCTTCCAATTTTTCAGTCTGCCTGGCAGTTTTTTATGAGTGCAGTTATTTAGTGACCAGTGAGTGCAGTGCAGGAGTAAGCTGGAAGCTCTCTTTGTTGTTTACCTTGTGGTGTTCTCAATCATCATTGTACTCTCCAGGCCCTTGTGAGGAATATGTGAGGAAGGCTCTTCATGCAGAGCTGACAGGCAAGCCTGTTAGGACAAGCAGCTGGCTGAGAAAAGGAGTTTCATTTGCAGATCCTTTTTTAAAGAACTCATTTAAAAGGCAGTTTGTCAGGGACAAGCAGGACAGTCATTTTGGCATGCTGCATTTCTGTGGGTGCAATGTAGTAAAATGAAAGATATGAGTGTGATAATGACTGTAGCTGCTTCCAGCCATGAACCTGAGTTGTGTGATGAGTAAAGCAAAGGAGCAGGTTTGTCTGTATTGCAGCTGATGTGTGGGACTGGTGCAGAGCAGCCTGGTGCCCTGCCTGATCTGTACCTCTTCTTGCTCAGAGGAGTGTATGTTGCTTCCTAAGCCATTGAATTGCTCCATGCAAAGCACACAGGCGAGGCACCTGGCCTTTCTCCGAGGAACCTGCGTGCTGCCAAGTCACTCATAAAACCAGAGCATCTGCAGCACTTGTTGTAGAGCATCAGGTAATGCCAGTAAGGAAATTAGAGCCAGGAATAGCTCTGTTGCTCTGAATTCTTACAGTGCTTTTGATTTAAGACACTGACATATCAACGGAATTGTATTTAATTTTTTGTCTGCTTATTTCAGGAAGAATGACATATGCCTAAACCAGCATTTAAGTAGTCACAGTTGGCTTTTAGTGTCAGCAGAGGTGAGACGCACAGAATAGGAGCAGATTAGCTGCCACGGTAAAGGAGGCAAAGGCATGAGGGCACTGTGCCATGTTTCAGTGGCACTTAGTTCCCTTCCATCCTGATGGGCAGGAGTGAGCTTGCCATGAAACGTGTCGTGGCCTTTTCCCTTGCCACACAGCCCTGCTGCACCTCGCTTGTTTCCCCTCTGGCCCCTGTGGCCCCTGAATGCTCTATAATTGGGTGACTGGGGCACAGGTATGCAACTCAGGCATGTCAGGTGTGTTTCAGATGTTTTTCTTTGCTGTAAACCTGTTTACAAGCCAGAAAACTTTTTCACTGTGACTCTTCCCCGTTATGCAGATATTGCAGAGTGATTGCACTTTATCTCAGTAATAGTCCAGCTGGGTAAAGATCAAGCAAAGCAAATTTTAAGCCCACGAGTGAGAGCTATATATATGGAAAAATCAAATTATAATGAAACTTTATTGCTGTATCCATTAGTCATCCTTAATAAAGGAACAGAAAAGGTCACTTGTTGTTCAGCAGTGCACTGAAGTGGAGCATTTGTGACTACAGAGAGCATGTGCTGAAAAGATAAATGCAGGTAGTGGAGTTAGATGTCCTAGCATTCAAGTGCAAGGCCCGGCACGGGCTCGCTGTGAGGGTGAAGGGTGGCTTTTTACCTTTGTTTCCACAACAGCTAAACAAGGATTCTTGCCCAGCCAGATCAGAAGCTTTCTGGAGTGACTAATTACTAGTTGTATGGTGATTTGAATGCTTGTAGCTTTGCAGTCGGTGCTCTTACAGTGCCTGTGCTCTTAAATACTGTTGCAGCATTCATTTTTTTGTCAAGTGAGTGATGGCTGTAGCATTGCCTTTTGGGGTCTGGGTTTGGATGGATGCACTGCAGTCTCTGTTTGCTGAAGCAAGAGATTGTCTGATTCTTCTTGTTTCTTCTGCTGCTGCCTGTGGGGCATTATAAGGCAGAGGGGATGTTAATTTGGGGGTTTAAACAGTCACCAATAGCAACATCTTTACTCAGCCCTGTTTTAGTTTCTGGGCAGTTTCTGGCTGGTAGTGTTTGTGTGTGTTTTTGCTGTGGTACAGAGCTTGGCTGTTAGCTCTCTGTACAGTCCAGCCAGGTTCTGTGGGCACACACAGCACCTGAGCAGTGGTTATTTATTTACCTTGGGCCCCTGGATGCAGGATATCAGATGTGGCCAGGTAACTGCTGCTGTGCTTCCAGCTTCGTGTCAGCACTCCAGAAGCAGGGAGAAGAGGGATGGGGAGGTTTGCCATAGCTTGGTCCGAACAGCGTGTGGGCTCCTTTCCCATGAGGATTGCTTCTTTGCTTTGGAGTTTGAGTCTTTATGAGCTGATAAGAAGTTCCTGGCTCCCTGGAAATCCTGTACGTAGCTTTTTCCTCTAGAGGGTGGGTAGGTGCAGCTTTTCTTCTGTGAAAGACTCGAGGAAGGGTGGAGACAAGCACCATACACATGTCAAGTGCTTTCTCTGCTTGGTGGTGCATGGAAACAAACCGCAGCCTCTCTGGGCCCCCGCTGGATTTCCATGATAAATACAGCAATATTGACAGATAACGTGGCTGGCCTGGCTCTTGTCAGCTCTGCCTTTTAGCAGGTTTGATTAATTGCTTTACAATTTCACGTCCAGCTGGGGGGCCACTCTTGGATCACTTCTGCCCCCCATCAGGTAGAAGAATGGAGCAGGGCTGTGAATGTGGCTGCAGACAGCCACCATGTGCCGAGCGGCCGCTGCTTTATGGGGGCAGATGAGCTCCTTCCAGCCCTTGCAGCATCATCTTGGCTGTGTCACTTTGCACGCTGTGCTGGAAACTGGGGGAGTTTGGGATGGGAGGGGGCAGCTGGGCATGTAGCAGAACGGAGGGTGAGGAGAAAAAGGGCACCGAAGCGCACACGGGAGGTGGGAGCTTGCAGTCTGCCACCAAACCTGGAGAGCAAACCTGCAGGATCCTTCCTACGGCCCAGGAGGGAGCTGATGAAACGGCCCCAGCAGCAACCAGCTTGGTGGTGACTGCTGAGCAGAGAGAAAACTCGACATCTACGTTCTCCTGTTCTCCTCGCTTCCAGGCTGATGAGGATGCTTCGGATTTCAGTTCACTTTTGAAAGAGGAAACATAGTGGTAGTGTGCTGTGTGAGCTGTGCCCCACTGTCCTGAGTTAGAAAGCTGTCCCACTCCTTTGTGATCTCAAGTGTTTGGGTGCCATTTTCCTGTCTTTTTATTAAGAAGATGAAGTAATCGCTGGCTCACATTCTGCCTTCATGTATAAAAACAAGGGCACGAGGGCTCGGTGTGAATCTGCATCTGACAAAAGCATAAAATACAGCGTTGGGGATTTGAGGCTCGATTTTGTGGCTTTCCCATTCTTGTCTGAAAGCGAGTGGCTTTGCTTTGGCTACACAGTACAATCCCTGTTGTCTGCTCAGGGATGTGACATGACTACCTTTTGTTAAATGCATCTTCTAAAATTCATTTAGAAAGAGTTAATTGCCCTTTGGCAACTTTTCCTCCTCCCTTCCCCAGAAAGGCTTTAAAATGTTAAAAAGGTCACGAGTCCATTACAATGAAACGAACAAGTGTCTGCAACATCCACAGTTTGTTTTTGAAGTTGTGCTGGATGTATAGAGATGGAAATGTGAGCAAAATTGAGGAGATTTTTAGAGACTCCTTTTAATTAAAAGCGAACAAAAAGCTCTGGTTACTTTACTTCGCTTTCCTTCCTGCTTACTGCCTGTACTTCAGGCTGGCAGTTTTGGTTTGTGATTTGAAAATTGCAAAGCCCTTTCCTTCCCGTTACCCTTTAATTTCTCCAGTTGAGTGGAGCTGGTCTGTAAGTTGTGTCAGCTTCCAAAAGAAGAATCGAACCATTGTAGTGTTGGCTGAAGCTTTTGTTAAGCAAATTTCATTAAGAGACTGGGAGCTAGCAGGTCTTCAGGAAATCAGCTCTGTGTTGGCTGAGGCTGCCCCGTGCTGCTCGAGGCAGTGCTCTGCTGTATCTAAATGGCTGTGTGCCATAAACGTCGTTATGCTTTTATGGAAAAAGATGCTGAATATCCTGCCTTGATTTTCTTCTCTTCAGGTGGTGAGAACATCAAGAGCATAAATCAGCAGTCAGGAGCTCACGTGGAGCTCCAGAGAAACCCACCTCCAAACACAGACCCTGGTGTGCGAATATTCACAATCAGAGGAGTTCCCCAGCAAATTGAACTCGCTAGGCATCTCATAGATGAGAAAGTTGGTGTAAGTCCCATCTCTGTTGGTTTTGATCTGTCTCTTTCAGAAGTGTTTTCACCCATAGGTGCGTGTAGGCCTGGACTTATGGGGTGGAAGTGGAACACTGTGTACTCTTAACACTATTTAACTTCAAAACCATTTGCCTGTTAGCAGCCATCTTGAGCTTTGGCCCTTGAGCATCCATTGGACTAATTTTTGCTGTGGTCCCGGGAGGATCTGACTGCTGACATAATCAAGTGTAGTATGCAACTGTGCTAAGGCTGAGGAGGCTGCCAAGTGGGGTTTTGAAAGGAAGACTACAGTGTTACTGTGTGAAAATGACATAATCTTGGCGTCATAATCCTAAAAGTAACACTGAGCTCCTTGCTCCAGCAAATCCAGGGTGATGTTTATCTTCTGCTTAATGCAGTGCTGGGGTATTGAAGCTTAATAATGTCAGGCCAGAACACTACTGAAGGGAGAAACTTGGGCAAAAGGAAGTAAGGAAAATACTGAACTGGGGAATAGCAGAACTGAAAAGCAACCTTTGTGTTGAATTACCTGAGAGAAGAGGGCTTGGTACCAGCCTCAGGTTCCAAGCTATTCAGAGGAAAACTTCCAGCTGTGCTGGAGTCCTGTTAGCCCCTTTGTGGCTGGCCAGGGTTGCTTTTGAAGCTGAGCTCCTGAAGGGTGCTGACAGTCCTGGGAACTTGGTCCTTGGAAGATCAGTCGTTTCAGGAGCTGGGGCTTAATGGAACATAGCCCAGGCTGTCTTCTCTCTGCTAACTATCTCCTCCCTCTGTGTAGAGCTGACATTAAATATCTCTGGATTCCATGGCAGGGTACCAGCATGGGTGGACCTGGAGGATTTGGTCAGAGCCCGTTCAACCAAGCACCCACCACACCTCATCAAAAGTAAGCTTCTGCATCTTGTCACAGATGGGTTCTGGGGAGTGGCTGGGAGCTGTAAAAGTCTTGAGAGAGGTATGGAGGGCCTTGGGGGGGGGGGGTGTGCAAGTGCAGCCTTTTAAAGAGAGAGCTGAAAACTTTAAGATTGACTGCAGGAGGGATTTCAGCTATGGAATTGCAAACAAGGTAGGTTCTGTCTCCAATGCAGTGAGTGTGGAAAGAAGCTGGAGCCTCACTTGCTGTTCAGTACCATGTGTCCTTGACTTCACAAACAGACAATTTCCATGCAGTTAGCAGCTGCAGCTACACGTTTCCTTCTGTTCCATGTTCCTGTTTGCTCAGCAGTTGCTGACTAGAAGTAATAATTTTGTTTCTAGGGCTGACTTCATGCATATCTCCTCTGAAGTATTTTATTGTCTACTTCAGCATGCCTTTTTATCCTCTGCAGTGGTCCTCAGGCGTTCATGGCGCAGGGTTGGGGCAGTACCTACCAGACGTGGCAGCAGCCTGGACAGCAAGTCCCAAGTAAGTGGTTAGGGCCTGGGTTTGAGAAGGGCTGGTGTTCCCTTTGCCACCAGACACAGATTGAGCCATAAGACCACTTGTGTGCGGTGGTGTTGGAATGAGCCCAAGTCCACCAAAACCAGTAATGCTTTTAGTGTACTTACCTGCTTGTTTCTGCTTCCTTTGTGGAGAAACCTACTTTGTAACATTTCTGCCTTAAGCTTTCTCTTGTGAGGACTCTCCAGGCAAGCGCTCACTGTCCCCACTTCTCCCTGACAGGCACACAGTGTCTGGTGGTGAGCCCTCCCATCTCTCTGCTTTTTAATTCATCAGTCCTTGATTATTTTTTTATTTCTTTTTTGGTACACATTCTTGATGAGCTCCTTTCTAATTCCCATACTGACAGAAAGGCTGGGAAATAGATGCAGGAAGTGGAGAAGAAAAGCGTGGCTCCTATCGTGCTTCATTCACACTGGCTGTAGTGGTGTCCTCTTATTTCCTTCTGGGACCTGATAACTGCTCGGCTTCTGCAGCACTAAAAGCATGGAGTGTGACCAGCCAGATATTAGCATTAAGATACAAGTGACAGTGCACAAACATCTGCAGTAGTGAGTTCAGAAGCTGAACCCAGATCACTTCTGCTCCTGGTCTTAGTCCTTTGGCCACTGACACAGTGAATCAAACTGGCTGTTGTTCTGCAGGGATCCAAGTGTCCACTTCCTCACAAAACTGTTCAAAATTCATCAGGTTGGAATGAGGTTTCAGAATAACTGACGTAGTGCTGTAGTGATGATGTCTGTCACTAATGTCATTTTCCTGTCTTCAGCAGTCTGATGCTTTGAGCAGATTCCTAGGCGACTTGTTAATCTCAAAGCTCATGTGATGCACTGAGATGCCTTTCAGTGCTCTGACTGGTTCAGCAATGAAGTAGGTACTTAAGTTCAGTTTAAACTCCCTCTCTTTGAGGCGTCTGAGATGGAAGAATAATTGCTGTAACAATGCCAGCAACTGCATTTATGATTCCCTGTGACACAGCTGACATCTAATGTAAATGAATTTGTGCATATCTGAGATCTGGAAATCCTCAGCACTGTGTTCTTGACATCATGCGAAACCCTGCATGGCACTGGGGGCTTTGCGTTAAACTTTGAGGCAGTGTCTTTAGGAGAGGGCTTCTACTCCTCAGGAATTGCAGTTTAAAAATCAGTGCTCCTCTGTAGAGCTCTGGAGACAGGCAGAAAATCAGCAGCAGTTGTGCCTTCAGGATAGGTGGGCTTGGAAAGAATTCTTGTTTCCACCAGAGTGGTGTAGTATGGTGCTGAGAAGGAGAGTTTTCCCACCAGCCTGTTAAAGAGTACAAATCACTGCTCACGTCCTTCCTTGTGCTCTCCCAAGAGCACTGAGCCTTCCTGAGAGGCAGAGCAGGAAGAAATGCAGCAGGGAAAGCTCTACAAAAAAACCTTAACTTCCAGCTTCACATAAAGCCTTGGAATAAATGCTTATGAAACCTGCTTTTCTAATTGCCTTCAGAGATGCCTTTAGAAACTCACCTTGCGAATTTATCTTCTTCCTTGCCTCCCTCAGGTGTCCTGCCCTCCCCATCAGACACTGGGAGAAATGATCTCTCATTTTATAACATCTGTGAGCTGTGTCTTGGGCTCACAGCCCTTGGCCTTGGAGCTTAGTGGTGTCAGAAGCCCAGACCCCTTGAGTTCCCCACTACCAGCACTGTGGCTTGTCCCACTGGCAGCTGCTCTGCAGTGCATTTGTGAGATTGTTGGTGGCTCCCAGAAGCCATGAAGCATCCAGCCCTGCAGTGGTCATTTCCCTGTGTGGGGTTAGTGCCATCAGATGTGTTCTGGGGACAAATATTCAGTTTCTGCTGTTGAATGTGATGGAAAACATCAGCTCACTAGTTTCATGTTTACTTAGGGTCCTCCATGCTCCTGTTGGTAGGCAGGCACACTGAAGGCAGTCTTTGTAAGAAGAGAGGACAGACGAGAGAACGCAGTGCTTTAAGCACACACCACTGCTTGCTTTTCTGCTGATCACAATGGTACTCAGTCAGGCCAGGTGGAATTCACCAAGGTATGGGAGGATTATTATAAGAAACTAAGTAAATACCTGTTTTTACACTGAGTTTCAATTGGAGAACAGGCTGGTGAGGGGGCCCTGCCCCGTGGCTCTGCTTTCCCCAGCAGAGCCGTCCCTTGACTCCCAGAGTGCCCTCCTTGTGGGAGGAGGGGCAGCCCCCACCCCTACACATGTATTCAGATTTTAATTACTTCCCCCATCTTAAATTAACTGGCCAGAGAAACATTTTGCCGTGAAATGCATTTAGCTGCGTGTCCTTTCAGCCCGCTGCCGACTGTAATTCTCCGAGAAGAAAAGGCATTGAAGGAGGTCCTTTGTTGGCATTAGCAGGTGGACAGTTGAGGCAGCCTTGACCTCTGCCAGAAAAGGTCCTGACTTGTAGCGTTGGTCAAGTCTTTTAACCTGCTTTTATGCCCCTGGACAGGACGCTGCTGCCCTGTTCCCTCCACCCACTTCACACTCGCAGTGCATTACGTTCCTCCTCTCCCCCCCACTTCAGAGCCCTCTGAGATGAAGCCGAGGGGCTTGGATGGGCTGTGAGAGCTCCTGTGTGTGTGTGTGTGTGTGTGTGTGCTGTCCTTGCCTGCTGTGCATGCAGCAGTTTGTGCTTTCACTGTGCCTGCCTTCTTCTGCAGTTTTTTTTCTGATAGCTGTATTTTCTGTTCAGGGTTGGTTGGTTGGTTTGCTGCACGTCTGGCTGAGGGCTCTTTGCTCTGACTGCGGCCTCTGCAGCCAGCATGTTGGACTCTCCCCCTCAACAACACTTAGACACACTGGCTTCACCACATCTTAGTGTTGTTTGAAGGAGGGAGGTTAGTGCTGGGTGCAGGCAGGCTTTGGCTCTGTGGGCTGTCCGTATGGCTCTTAGTGCAGTGCAGGAGCCCAGAGCCAGCTGTGCCTGCTCAGAAGGCTTCACAGGTGCTGCTGCACGGGGTGGTGTCGGGACCGGTGGCTTGCTGAGTGCTGACCACGTTGTACAGGTGGGCATTGCCACCACGACTCCTTGGGATGTGTCCTGCTGCAAGAGCAGGGGGTGCAGATGCAGGTGACTGCAGATGTGGTTGTATCCATGGCACCTCTGTGTGGAGGTTGAGGGGATAGGGCTCTGCTGTCAGGGTTTGAAGCCCAGGTCCCTGCAGTCAGTGTGAGCAGCTTTGGGTGGCTGATGTGCAGAGCTAGCAGCTCCCAAACAGCGTGCTTGGCCTCGAGCAAGTCCTGATGGAGGGGAGGGATGGAGTTTGGCTTCGTGCCCCTCAGCAGCACTCAGGTGAGACAGAATCAGGAACTTGAGTCTTTCCCCAAACTGAGAATGCCCAATGCAGTAGAAACGTGGAAGCTGAAGCATGGAATCCAGACAACTGAGGTAGAGCCAGGGCCTGTCTAGTGGAGAGGTAGATGTCACTAGCTGGAAACTGTCACCTGTTCCATATTGACATGCCCCTTATTGTCATCTTTGCACAGGCCAACAGAGCCAGCAGCAGAACAGCCATCCCGATTACAGCAAAGCATGGGAGGAATATTACAAAAAACAGAGTGAGTGAAACAGGGTTGTTGGAGATAAGGAAACTCTTGTTACAGAGTTCACGCTAATCCGATGACTTGCGTCTCCATCCCCTGCCATCATTAGCTTCCAGTCCTCTGCAATTCCCTCTGGTCCCTGCAGCTGGTGATGGTGCATGGTAGTTCTTCCACTGGAAGCTGTCGTGGTGCCTGCTGCTGGGCCTCAGGAGGGCTGTTCCTGCTGAGCTTCAGTGCACAGCAGAGCCCGTGTCCGTGCTGGGGAAGCATTGCACACACCGAGAATCGATGCTGACAAAACAAAACCCAGAAAATTGAAGCTGGGTTGTCAAAAAGGTAGGAATGCTCTGCACACAGGTGTGTGGACAGTCGTGGCCCTGCCTTCCTCCGCTCCGTTAAGAGGCGTGCGGTGCCAGCTTCTGGATTTGCATTTGGCAGCCTGGGTTTCGTCTTACCCAGCTGCTCATCCCTCCCTTTCCCTTTCTCTTTCCTCCAGGTCATGCTGCCAGCGCTGCTTCTCAGGCAAGCTCCCAGCCAGACTACACGATGGCCTGGGCAGAGTATTACAGACAGCAGGCCGCCTACTATGGGCAGACACTAGGGCAGGCGCAGGCCCACAGCCAGGTGTGTATTCGCCCTCTGCTGTTACCCTGGGTGTGGGGAGAGCCTTGGAGTGGTGCAGTGAAGCACAGAGGTGTTTTGTGGCTGGAGAAGTCGAGTCGCTCAGTGCTACCATTGCGCTATCTCAGCATCAGACTGGCTTCCCTGTGCAGGGTGGATTTGTGGGGGGGACTGGGAGGCTGTGGGTTTATTTCCCCTAAGGGCTTTTTGCTCCCAATCCCCAAGCCGTTCTGTGGCTGTCGGTGGGATTTCAGCACAGTGAACGACAGCTTGAGGCCGGCAGGACGGAGCAGCGCTGTCCTGGTGGGCAGTTTGCCTTTTCTCTGGCAAGCTTGGTGCTTGGGTCTGGGCACGGCTGGGGAGCACCTGCCTGATGGAGGGGGGAGCAGAACCTCGCCTTGGTGGCACTGCAGCAGGGAGAGCCACAGGCTGGGTGCTGGGGGTGGCTGGCAGAGGGGTGCTGGGTGCCATGCTGACGTCCCGTGTCCCTGTGCCCACAGGAGCAGTAGAACAACGCCCTCACGGCCATCGTCGCTACTTGGTTTCTCCCTCGGAATCATTGTGGAAGAAAACCTTTTTGTAACAGAGGTTTCTAGATTTGCAACGTTTTGATGAAGACTTTTCTGTTTGTTTGTGAAACACTAGCTGTAGGATAATCCGTACTGAACTTTTCTAAGAATCAGGAGCAATTAGTAACATACTAAACTTACGGACATGCTGGTAATTTTGTTTCTAAATTTGTACAAAACAGCAAAAAAACAACAAAAAAAAACAACAACCATAAACACACACAAAACCCTCCGGGATCCCCTTTGGACGGAGCCGGGGGAGCTGCAGCTCCAGCAGCGCACATTGGAGCTGTGACATTTCAACGCGTGCGGCCGCTGTTCTCCAGCTGGGGTTGGTTGGGTGGTTTATTTTTTTTCTTTCTTTCTTTCTTTTTTTTCTTCCCCCCCTTTCCTCCCCTCCATTTCTCCTCTCCTTTTCATTTTGGAACCTTTTCTGTCGCAGCAGAAAGAGTGGCTTGGAAGTCTTAGGCGATGTGTAACGAATCCGAATTGAAAACAAAAAAAAAGAGGAAAAAGGAAGAAAAAAAAAAAAAAAAAAAAAAAAAAAAAGGATTTTAAACAGTATTTAAATATTCTTAAATATGTAAATTCATTAAATGTTTTACTTCTCGTTTTCTTGCATCTTTTGATTTTTATTGCATTATTGTTTTTTTGTAAGGAAGAGCAGTGCTGTGTGCTGTAATGACGGGGTGAGTTCTGCGCTGTGCCCTCGGCTCCCTGCTGGGCTCTGAGGAAGGGGAACAGGAACACAGGGGCGGCTTTTTGGGAGCCTCCTCCTCCCCGTCCTGTGGCCACGGCTGCGTTGGTGGAGCTGAGACCTCCGAGCTCAATGGGAAAAAAAAGAAAAAAAGAAAAAAAAAAAAGAAAAGAAAAGAAAAGAAACCTTCCTCTATGCTCTCAGAAATATAAATACTGTTATTTTTAATATGAAAGTGGATCTGCTATTGTGAGAACCTTTTAACAAACACTGTGGAGGCGCAAAGCCCTATCAGAGGTAGTAGAACTATTTTTTAATTCCAAGGTGGGTTTGTTTCAGTTCTGTTTTTATTTTGGCTTTTTTTGTTTGGTTTTTTTTTTTTTTTTTTGGTTCCTTTTAAATATTTTCCTATCTAATATTGTCAGATTGCCTAGAGAGAAATGAATCTAGTATTAACCTCCGTACGCTGAATGATGTTGATTTAATAAAAGAGATGCTATGACTGGCGCTGTCGGCTGCAGTTCCTTGTACAGATAACTGTGTTTTTAAAGGAGGAGCAGAATCCAAGCTGGTTTTTGCCTTTGGAGTTCCCTGCAGGACGCTCCCTTCTGCACTGCACCCCAGCTGCCGTTCTCCCGTTCTGCCCCTGTTGTCCCTTACCATGCGATGTCTGACTGTAAAGAAACCGGCGCCGCGCGATGCTGAGGTTTGAAACAGAGAAAAAAACACACAAAAAAGACCCCAAAAGCCAAGGCGCGATGTTCCCTTCATTTGACTGGCAGTTGCATTTTACACTCTATGTAATAAAATCTCCACAAGGCGGCCTGTGGGCGAAGGACGGCGTGTGCTGTGCTGTGTGGGGGGGAGCCGAGCCCATCTGCGGGGCTGAGAGCCGGAAGGACAGAGAGCTGAGGAGTCTCTCAATGCACCTCCAGAGAATCGAGGGAGACAGTGAGCGATGGGATGGTAAAAGCCGCTCGGAAAGAGGGGAGAGGGGGGAAAAAAGGGCTGGAGGAGGGCGCGGGGCTGCTGCTGGGAATTGGGAGCGGGCATTACCGAGAAGACTTCCTTCTAATTCATCTTCCGAGCTCTGTGCCAAAACAGCATTTGGCATGGTTCACAGGGAGCAATTGTGTGATAATGAACCCTAAGGTGTCCCTTAATTGAAGACTGAGTATTACGGATTGTGCCAATGGTCGTAAATGGCGCAGGATTGTGGGAGGATGCATTTTCTTAAATGTATCTGTAAGTACAGATTAGAGAGTCTCCCCAGTGAAATGCCCATACTATAAATTATGGAAATATCTCTTTCTGATGCAACCTTTTATTGAGGGGGTGGGGCGGCGAAACAAATAGTTTGCGAGGCTTTGAAATTTGGCCTGTCATTAAGATGGTGCCTGCAAAGCTGGGTTTTCATCAGCAGTCTGGTGTCCTGGCAAGCTAAAGTGCTCAAAATGTTCCCAACTTCAGCAATTTGTTTTCCATTACCGCCGCCCGCTTGGGGCGCAGGGGCTGCGGCCGTCGAAGCTCTGCTCTGCAAAGCGCTGGGGCTGGAGCTGCTGGGTGCCCCATCGCCTCTATGGGGCCCGGGGCCGTGGGTGCTGATACTGGGCGTGATGGGAAGGGAGAACCTCAAGGCGACGGGAGAATCCCAATGCGATGGGAGAGCAGCCATTGGTGGGAGAACCCGGACACGATGGGAGATGCTCAGTGTGATGGCAGGTCCCTGATGTGCTGGGACGCCCTTGGTGTGCTGCAGGTCCATGGCGGCGCCTGTCGCTCTGAGGGCTGTGACTGAGGGGAGCCCTGCAGCCTAGGAGCTGCCACGGTGCCTTCATGGTTCCTCCAGGAGGGAGCAGCCTCCTGCTCAGCTCTGCACGGCTGTAATCTCCAAAATGAAGTGGATTTAAGCTCTGATGGGATTCTCATGGAGGAAGGGGGTTCTGCACTGCGCTGTGGGTGGAAGGTTTGGGAGCGGGAGGTGCTGGGCAGAGCTCAGAGCTTTGGCTGCTGTTGAGGCATCCTTGGGTTCACAGCCACGCAGATGCTGCTCTATATTGGGCACCTCGATGGGCGTGGGGCTATTTTGAGAGCAGAAGGCAGGCTACTAAAACACCTGCTTTAATTTTGCATGATTCCAGAACGAACTGCACCGTGGCCATCGCGAGTTGCACTGAAATGATGATCGAAGCAGACAGCAGGCACAGAACTTCATTTTTTGCTTGAGCACTTGAACGGGGCATCGATCGGAGCAGCGCTGTGCCTGCAGGAAGGTGGGTGGGAGGGGTGGCTGCTCCCAGCCTCGCTTTCCTGCACCCAGAGCCGTTTTCCCACTGCAGCTCGGGGGCTCAGTGACCCAAAGGCGCACGGTGAGGTGCAGGGGCAGGTACTGTGAGCTCGGCACATCTTCCCAGCCTTCCCCTTATCATTGAGGAAATCCTATTTCAAGGCCGCTCTAAAGCAGCCTCTGATCTCTGCGCTGCCTCTAATCCCGGCCGGCCGGGTGCAGGTGCTGCGGGGTGGGGATTAGCGGTGCCGTCCCTTTGTGCGAGCCATCACTCAGCACTCCGTGCCCAGAGCTGCTCCCAGGGCTGGGGCCAATGGACAGGGAACGTGAAGTCGGTCCTGCGGTGAGCAGAGGCCGTCGCTCTGTTTGTTTTGCAGAGAATGGGGATGACAAAGGCTTTGGGGCTGACGAGGTCTCGTTGCCGTTGTCACCCAGCCCTGCCTGCGCCGCGTGGCCCCACAGCCCAGCCCTGCTCACAGCCAACGATGGGCACGTGGTGGTGGAATGTGGGTGAGAGGGTGGATGCAGAACTTTGTGATGGGATGGGAGAGGGGGGGAGAGGGGGGGGGGGTATGGATGGGGTGCAGGAGGTGTTGATGGGGTGAAGGATGTGATGGCGTGATGGACAGGTGGTGGTGGGATGCATGGCATGATGTTGTAGTGCTGGTGAAACCACTGTGCTGTGCAGGAGAGACAGCGGTGGGACACGACTGCCCTGTCCTCAGCTCACAATTGGAGGGCAGGACACAGGCAGTGATTTTCCCACCTCTCCAGTCCCAAACCCTCTTTGCTCCTTCCTGTAACCTCGATCTATGGGGAGCACCCTCAGCACCCAGCCCTGGGATGGGGTCCATACACACTCCCTGTTCCGGGGCAGCTCTGGCTGCAGGGTCCCAATCCCCAGCAGCCTCGTGATGTGCCACAATCGCCCCTCATCTGCAGCCACCTGAGCTGTGCTGAGCGCTGGGATGGAGCCGGGAGTGCACAGATGGGCTCTTTCCTTCCCTGTTTGCTTTTGTGTACCGTGATCTCATCAAAATAATCCAGGAGTTACTACTTAAAAAAAAAAAAAAAAAAAAAAAAAAAAAGGGGGAAAAAAAAGAGACAAGAAATGAAGTGGGAGCAGCAGGGAGAGCACTCAGCACCTCCCTCCACAGCTCCGCTGCCTCCCACAGAGAGAAACGAGGCAAAGAATGCCCCGAAGCTCCTCCAAGCAGTGCGATCAGCCCGGCTCCGGGCGCTGTGCTGGAGGCTCTCTGCATTCTGAGCCCCCTCGGGACCCAACCATCGCTGGCCCTGCTCGGGGACACCCCGAA